AAAAATCCTGCACTATTAGGGCTGTAGAGCGAAGCTCGGCGAGGAACTGCCAGGACGGAGGTCATCTCTGCGAGTCCCTGTGTGCACCCTTTCCCGGCATGCGCGGACCGTGATGCAACCTTCGGTTACATGCCCACACACTGTTTTTTTCCTGGGTCATTCCCAGCTGTACTTTCCTTAGTTTTTAAAGAGGCAAAGTGGAAAAGAGCACATCCCATTGTGGGGGTACGATGGGGGCTGTCGGCAGGAGCAGAGCTTTACACCCCAGACTCAGTCCTCTGCCGTACTTGAGCTGGGAGGGCAACCGGTGGCAACAAGACACCTTTATCCTATAAACGGACAAGCCAAATACCTGCCAAAGGGGATCAGTGCAGAGCAGGAAGGGACGGCGAAACTCGGGTCTGCAGGGCCAGCTGCTCGGGTGCCGGGGGAGCTGCCCGTGCCCACCGCGCTGCCGACTTTGCCGTCTCTCTCACTTATTTCCCTCCTCTTAAAACACGCTTCGCCTCAGCGAGAACCAGTCTTTGCTGCGGTCGAGCCCCCGCAGCCTGCGCTGGTCCCTAACGCGGGCCTGTCGGGTGGCTGCTTTTAACAGCTTGCATAGTAACCGGGCAAAGCCTCTCAACACAGCATCACTAATTATACACATCCTCACTAAATTACCCGTAGTTTGTGGCACCTTGTAAAGCCCTGGCATAACAGACTCCGAGCTGGCAGTAAGGCACGCGGCCCGCGTGGCCGTTGCGAAGCACTTTGTTGCTTTGTGGATGTTTATGACCCTTCTTAAAAAGCCTAAAATGTACGTTTCCCCCAATGACTCTGCTCCGGGGAGTATTAAAAGCAGTACCTTAACTCAGCCTACCACATAAACATCCTGCTGCCCCAGCACAGCCCGATACTGTCTTCCTCCCAGGATGAGGAGCTGAATAATAAGTGACAATCACGGCTCCTGCCGGGAGGAAAACAGGAAGCGCCTGAGCCGCACAACCACTCCAAACATCGCCCTACCTGCTCCACTCCGGGGAGGCAACGTGAACTTTCTTTCCTTTCCTTTCCGCCTTACGTAACTTCTTCTGATGCCGGTCGGACCGCGTTGGGATGCGGCTGCGGGGATGCCCGATGCCGCGGGGACCGTTCAGGCCGGGGGGCGCCGGGGAAGGTGCGCCGAAACGGGCCGCAGCTCAGAAACGGGCAACGCGTTTACTCCGGGGTGGCTGGGCTGCCCTGGATGCGGATGCTGGTGGAAAAGTCCCAAATCCTCCCCAGGGGAAACTCTAATGCCCAAAGTGGCCAAGAGCTGACGTTTTTGACCAAAGTTCTGAAAGGAGCCCAAAAGCTGATATTTAAAGAAGGCCTCCAATTCACGCAGCACTGAAGTGCTAAACCTCTGCTGAGTCCCAGCATTGTGATATGTCCTGTCGGGGAAGCTCCCAGCAGTCCCTGACGGGGAGCGGGGAGCCTCGTCCCCAGCAGCCCTGTGCGGTGAGGGCAATCCTGTAAGCACGCCAGCAGGCCTAAAGTAAGCACGTGTCAAAGATGGCTGGGTGGCCAGTCTCCTCACATGGCCTCAAGAGCTGCTGAGGAGCACGGAGGAGCGAGCTCAAAGAATTGGCAGCTGAGACTGAGAAAAGGCTCTTTTCTCAGCTTGCAGCATACCCAGTTTCTTCACAAATACCCACATTCCCTAAACTTTTTTTGCTTTATTTTGAGGAATCCACCTCCACATGGCACAGTTTGCTGCTATTCAGCCAACAACCCCGTAGCTCTGGTTTCTGGCCCAGCCTCTCTAGGTGTAAGAGATGCTTTGCACTTTAAATGGGGCTCTTGGAGTAGGAGAACATTTTTAACCTCTGGCTACTCCCACATTTCGCAGCATGACTGCTCAACCTTCACAGTGTTTACTACTTTGAAGCATTCGAAACTTAGATTCCATATCTGAGTCTCCAAATGCTAGCCTTCCAAACAAGAAATGGGAGAAAAAGTAGGCTTCCTATGTGCTCTTCCTATGAAGAATGTAAAAATATCCCTCGCTGAATTAGGCAGTATTTGCCATCACTTAACAAAGTTCACATTCCCACAAAGAGACAACATGCTCTGCCTTCCTCCGCACACACGTGCGTTTGGCAACGGCCAGGGCAAGGAGGAACAATGGATCGGGATCGGCATACCATTTTCTTCAGGTCATGGTCACACAAAACAATACTTTGCAAAATTTTGAAGTGTGGGAGGAACTCTAGAAGCCTCAAGATGAGGATGTTTATCAACTTGTAAGAATATCTCCAAAGGGTTTGTGTCCTATGAGAAAAAGCTGAGTCCAAGGCAATCCAGCTCAAGCCATCACTCAGGCTAAATCTGGAAATCCTCCTTCAGGTGATCATGTTACCAATTTAAAGAAAAAGAGAATAGGTTGTTCACAGTCATGGCAGTAAGAGTTTTCGTAAGTAAGGACCCACCAATGAAGCTTCAAATGAAATTCTAGATCCAGTGCCTGCAGTGCTACCCTTACACAACTGCACTAAATAGTAGTCTGTAAGTGCATTAATACGCCCAGCTGAGCCTCGGGGCCTGCAAACAGTGCTGCCCTTGAGGGCACGGAGCAGGAAGCCTTTCAGTGCAACAGTTGCAGTCACAGGCTTGTTGGTCACTTCTAAGAGGGCCTTGAAAGACAATCACAGAAAATTTATCAGTAAGTTTAAATTGTCTACAGACACTTGGGAAAGCTTTTCAGGGGAGAAAGGTAGAAGCCACCACACAGATTTCACACAGGCCTCCGAGCGGGGTTCGGACGCCGGCTGTCTCTCGCATTGCCCTGAAGAGCTCCATCCTGATGAAGCCTCCTCACAGGCACTCTTTTGCTTGCAATGCATTCAGAAAGGTAGGATGCTTTCTTTTTTTTTTTTTTTTTTTTTTTCCCCAGTCAGAGAACATCTCTTCCCTTTTGCCTTATGGCTGTATCCTTGACAAGCTTGCTTAAAAATAAGTTACCCTTCTCCCTCGCAGTTTCAGCTGCGTTTCACTCAGCAGGGCTGCAGCTAGGACAGTCCCTGCCAAAGGGTTATATTTCAATACAGGAAGGCAAATGCTGCTGCTCCTTGGTTAACAACAAGGACGTGCATCATTCCTTTCTGCCCCTCTGCTTGTTAAACTCGCGGCAGGCTTAACAAAAAGGACGTCCTTGGGGAGGAGCCTGCCCCACTAGCCCTGGCCTGGCACCCAGAGCAGCTCCTGTTTGCAGCCCTTGCTGTGCAGTCCCACGGGGCTCTGCGTCGCGGGTGCCCTCTGTGCACAACGGTCAAAACTGGCCCAGCAGCAGCTTTGGGAGCAGCAGGTGGAGAGCGCTATTAAGGCATTATTAAGGCAAAATAAGCCAAGGTGGCATATGCTGTGTATGACAAAAGCCTTTACGGCTATGGAAGATGACCATAAATTCCTGTCTCTGCGTACCCTCACGTCTCCAGTGATGTCTCCAGTGACGGGCTGTGTTGTATCTCTCCTGGACTTGGGACGACAAGTTGCAGTGCCAAATGCAACAGAGTCATGCTGTAAGATTTAAACCCCAGAGTGAGAAATGTGGAAATTTCCCTGCCCAGAACAAATATATTGTCCCAACAGAGAGATGAGAAGCATTTCACAGCCCATCTCAGAGCCACTTCAGGCCTCCAAGGCTTGAAGGAGATGCAGCAGACTTTAAAACACACATCCAAGGCTATAAAATCCTTAAAGTTAGTTCTTTAAATGGCAGTGGGGAAGTGTTACCTATAACGAGACTCCATCCACGCTCCCCCAGAGCCCCACCGGGGGGGGGGACACGACACAAGGTGGGGATTCTTCGTGTGTGGAGCACCCTCTGGTGGAACAATCACAGCTTCACCCTCAAATGAGAGCAAACCCCAGAGGTGGAGGAGGCCCACAAGGCAGCCCCTGCCCTCTGGAGACCTCCCGGAGATGGGTCACAGGCACCCAGAGCTGCTCCGCTACCAGGCTCTCACGTGCCAGCGTGCTTGCACCCACGCCTGCTGCACGCTGCTGACGCGTATATCCTGCCCACAGGCCTATACTGCCCAGGCACACTTGCATACTTGCGCTCTTCCAGCTATTCAGCAGCAATCCCTTTCCCTTTCGCTATCCCAGACCCTTGCAGCTGCCAGGTCTTCCAGCCCAGACCGCGTCCCTCCTGATGGAGGCAAAGGCTGCTTTTGCCTCTGGACGTTTGTGGCGCTCCCCGCCCTGCATGCTCTCCGGTGGGGCTCCCTGGGGAAGGGCAGCAATGGCATGCGCGCCCGCGTGCGGCACCCGCGCCCCCTTTCGCAGCATGACGGGGGCAGGCATCCGCATCGGTCTGGGGCCTCTGGGTGCTTTCACCGTGCAACTGAGCATGGTGCTTCTGCCACAGTTTTTAAGCAGCCCCATTGCGAAGGACACAGGCAGTGGCTCAGCGCCTCCAGTCCCGGCTGTCACGCACCGCCCACGTCCCTTGGGACGTGCCACATCACTGCACCTCTCCTGCCCCTGCTTCCTCCCCGAAACTCCTACCGGCCTGGCAGAGGCTGCAACCCCC